CAGCCTCCAGGTGAGAGTCCAGCCTGGATTCTTCCCAGTAGCCTTGTGAGACCCTAATGGAGGGACCCTCCTGCTGGACTCTTCACCCCTGAGCGTTCTGGTAATCTGTTACACAGCAATAGAAAACTGATCCAGGGTGGGGGAGGATGAACAGGGTAAAGGGGTCAAATATATGGTGATGGGGGTGGACTAGACTGTTATATTGTAAATCAGAAGGTGCTTAATCAATAAGCCACATTTATTTGCAGTCTTTTTCATTTTGCTAGTGCTAGCAGACCCAGAGGAAATATTGCTTCTCAAATTCTGGGGCCCAATATGGTGGAAGTCTTCCTTATTTATGCTTTTTTCAGCCAGGGTAAAGGGGTCAAATATATGGTGATGGGGGTGGACTAGACTGTTATATTGTAAATCAGAAGGTGCTTAATCAATAAGCCACATTTATTTGCAGTCTTTTTCATTTTGCTAGTGCTAGCAGACCCAGAGGAAATATTGCTTCTCAAATTCTGGGGCCCAATATGGTGGAAGTCTTCCTTATTTATGCTTTTTTCAGCTCTTTGTCTTCCAAGTTTGGAATGAGACTTCCGGACCTTCTGAGAAAGAAGTCCTGTGTGCTGGGACAGGGCGGTGAGACCATATCTCAAGGCCTGGCCTGGCGCCAGCTCTGACAACTCTGTCTGGGACATAGTTTATGGCCTCTCTGGAGTGGGGAGTAGTCTTATTTCCCTATTATTTAAGCAAGCAAACGTTTACAGAAGCCAGAATAGCAGGGTTAAACTTAAACAGCAGTTTTTATCCAAGATGGATGCTTCAAGACTACCGGTGGTGAGCACACAGTGCAATAGACAGATGATGTATTGCAGAACTGCATACTTGAAGCTTATATAATGTTAGTGTGGACAAAAAAAAGGGGCCAAATACTAAACCTGACATGCTCAGCAGAGGCCTGCATGGTGGGTCTTACAGATTCAGAGACCAAAAGTAACCACATAGGATGGTCTGAACTTAAAAATCCCTAACTGAAAGTGAGTCATGGGGTTTAGTCTCATCCTAGACCTATTGTCTTTTGCATCTAAGATAACATATCTTTGGACTATCAGAGAAGCTCCCTTTTTTCAGACCCCTCAGGGGACAACCTTCTACCTGGGCAGAGGCCACAGAACCCTACATTGTTATCTACTTCCTGCATACTATCTGTGCTGTAAATGTTAACTATCCTGCACCCTCCAATATAAAAAAAAAAAAAAAAAAAGTATGGCCCTAGCCGATTTGGCTCAGGGGATAGAGAATCGGCCCGC